ATTTTAAAATATCCGATTTGAAATGTCTAGTGGTGATGTCCAAGACTTGGAAGAGTAAAGCAAACTCAATACTCTTTTTTAAATTATTTTTTGCTACCAGGTTTTAGAGATTGCAAATCGTGCCAAAATTCCCATTGAGCCAGGAACTTCTGAGGCCTTGTCTCGTGATAGCGGCATCGGTGACTCCCAGACCGTTGCTGCTGTTGATACGTCTGCCGACGAGACTTCAGATCTCTCTTCAATGACCTCTTCGACTGCAACTTCTGTCACTGCTTCCACCAACGGCACTCCTATCAGACCAACCATTAAGTGTGTCTCGGCAGATACTTTCGTTAGCAGCATTGACTCCCAGTTGACTATGATCAGTCAACTGCGACATGTGCTGCGCACCTTGACTGAAAAGAACGCTCAATTGGCTAAGAGGGTATGCTAATAGAATCTTTTAGTATTATTTTTGCACTTCGATCTATGCTAATGATCTCGATCCAATTCTTTCACACGTATATACGAGCCTAATTAATTATTTTCATACCACTGCCTTCCTTTCTACCTACTCACATTCTTTCTTCTCGACTAGCCAATCCATCATAGTAATCCACTCACTTTGCATCTAAACTACAGTTTAAGGGAACAGAATTCATATATAAACTTATTCCTGTCTTATTTTTATAATAACCACAGTGGAAGTGTGACAAATTAAATTAACTTATAATTTTCTACATGCTGGGGCCCTGCAGAAGAGGCTATCGGCTGGCGAAATTATTCCTAATATTGTAAAATTAGTCTTATCTAAGCGCCTAGGCTGAATTCTCCGGTCTACTTCATATTTTGAAAGATTTTAGCGCATATAACTTGTTCAGTGCTGAGATACAAAGCACATTTTCTTAAACTCGGTTTCTTTGGCTTTGAGATTTTGAATACTGTACCTCGGCCTTGATTTTTCCGTCATCGTAGTCGACCTCGTTAATTGGGAGCACGGCGAAAAGCACCTTACGGTAATGTCATTAGCAAATGAACTTGCTCAGTCTTATTTAGTGATGCGAATACTCATGCTACTATTTTGCTGTATCTCTCCTTTCAATAATTTTTCCCTTCGTGCCCACTTTATCCTACCAAGTGTTTTTTTTATTTTCCTACCTTCACTTTTTCTCAATTTGTGTATGTGTATGGATATTCCTGACTTAGATATTTATTGAAGCTTGCTTGTGTGAAACATCTACTATTCCCTTGTCTCTTATATTCATCCTACTACCTAATTTCCTTTTATAATCAAGGCTTGAGTAACACTTTATCTGGAAGATTCAGCATAGGGGCCGAGTGGACGTTAAGGTAGCCACATTGTTTCGGAAGCGGAGACTAAACTTACGGCAATATGCATATATGATTCAGAGCCATAGGATATTTTCAACGCCGGTAACAGATGCCATTTGCAGGGCTCCGGACCTATATTCTGCTCTCTTTTTTGTCCCTACTCGCTTGTCAATTGGCCGATGCTAAACATCAAAATCACTAGAAGTGGGTTGACCTCGTTGTCGCAACTTGGTATTGTTGTTAGGGCGACTTAGTAGAACGCACCTAGTTTGAAGTCGTCTGTCATAGTAGTTGTCATGATTACAAGCATCAGACAGTGGACTTGGTACATTCTCAAACGTCTCGCCGGCATCGTAATCGGCATCATCAGTGAGTTTTGCCATTCGCCGCACCAACCTATGAACTCGCCAAAGAGACAAGTGAAGTCAATCCCTCGACAAACGTGCCGAAAGTGGTTACACTATCACTCCTCTTTCTTTCCTGGCCTATATATCTACTCTTTATTCTCTTATCCCACTGCCACTATCACAACTTCTTACTTGTTTACATCCCACTCGTTAAAATGTGTGCCCTTTTGTGGCAAATCTAGTGTGGCCCCATCACACTTGCTATTTACCCCGACCCCTCTCTTTCGATCGGCTGATCCAACTCGGGCCTTCAATCCGGATTCCCTCATTCTCTCGTAGATCCGTTCATTATTTTTCTGGTTGACCGATTTCACTCGGTTCCAGTCTCTGTGCATTTCACCCCAGGCGTTATTTCTCAAGGCCCTAGAAGTACGTACACCACAGCTTCACCGAGCAGAGCGCCTAAGTTCTGATCGCCATGCTTGCAAAGATCAGGCCTTCCCTTCACGGGTCCTCTCCTTGATTAAACCCATGTTATCTGAACAAACTGTGAACGCCTATTTCTGGTCGCATTTTGCATCTCAAGTGGATTTTTAGTGCATTTTGGCCATGACGCCGAATTTCCGTGACGGTTTGCTTTCCGTCTGCCCAGCTCTCTGACTGCCAGGCCCCCAAAGTTGAACTGGTTTATTCCAAACGGACATCACGCATTGGCAACGTCTTCGCTTTATTGCCGAAAACCCCTGCCCCCCCTTTATTCATCGCGATCCCTTTTCCTCAGGTTAGCGGTAGATCCTTGATCCAGGCGTCTCCTTTTTGCTGGTCTTGTTCTATTCTTGCTTTCCTCGAGTTTGCCCTTGGGTGACAGGGCAAAAGCGAATTTCAAGGAAGGCTAGGCATCTCCCCATATCACATTCTGTGGTTGGATTATTGATTAAGCAAGCTTATATTTGCTATAACAAACGACAACTAATTATTTTTCTTTTTGACTAAGCTTTCGAGACTACCAATAAATTAGATATACGAGCTGTGTTCACTTTATTTCGTTAAGCTGATGAAGAACTGCTGGCTAAATTTTCCCACAATTATATAAGTTCACATGGCGTTCCCATTTAATTCCATATAGCCTTGCTTTCTTAAAAGGCGTTCTCATCCAGGATTCGAATCCCTCTGTTGATGTCAAGAAGACCTAGGCGAGGTCGAAACTGTAGTTCACCCTGGGTGAGAATGCCTTTTGTGAAAACAAGGCTATATGAAATTCTATTTGAATCTCATGTATATACATATTATTGTGGAAAAAATTAACTACCAGTCCTTCATCACCTTAGATGAAATAGGATGAACACAGCCCATATATATGATTTACTGGTAGTCTCGAAAACCTACTCGAAACTAAAATTAGTAAGCACAGGATTTAGCTATGGGTTATCATTTGTCTTCAATTTTCTAAAATTATTAGATGGCATAATTAAAGGTTAACTTGGATAAAAACGCTCTCCTGATTCCTGACCTATTGATTGGATAGATAGAAGATTTCTTGCTTTTTGATGAGTCTGAAAGAAATCCTTAATTTAATGAATAGATGAGACAACTAGATTTATTGTATTGTTGAAAAAAGCTGTTAGGAAAATCTTCTATCGCATTTGCCTTATACTCTATATATTCTTCCCTATTCTATAAGGCTGCTGGCAATACGAGTCAAGAAGTGGAGGAGTTGCAAGCACAGATATCCCACCTCAAGGCCCTAGTGGACACAAAGACCGACCAGAATCAGGTGCTGCGCAACATTCTTCACGCCAATAAGGTGACTGCGGAGACGATTCTTGCTAATATGAAGCAAAAATACGAAAACGACCGCATCATTGTTACGGAGGCCATGCAGCGATTGCGAAAAGATGTGAGAACTTTGAACGAGAATGCGGCAACCTACGCCTCGTTAAGGGCTGTCTTTGCTCAACGCTATGATGAATATATCACTCAGATTGACAAACTACAAAAGAAGCTCTCTGTATGTTGTCCAAAATCTTTCTGTATTTTTGTAAGGCTTTCATTTTGACCAGGTTTGATATAAATCTTTACGAGTCCTTTATACTCTTATTATTAAATTTACCCCTAATTTTTCGATTTGAAGATATTCATTCATCTCATAGGCTTTTTTGAGCTATTAGCCAGGTAAATCCATATCGAACTTTGTTGCTAAAAAGGTATGCAAGTTTGCTGAAACTTACATATCTTCAAGTCAAGCTGATACTATTCTGATGATTAAGATATTATTTTACTTCGAATTCTATTTGGTCGAGTCATCTTTCAGATTAAATATTTGCCCCCCATCTCTCTACATTTCTGACTTTTTCCGACTTGATCTTGGCATTATATCGCATTAGATACTCTGTGCAAGTTCGGTCGTTCTTCTAAAGTCCCCCTCTTGTGGGTCAATATTAAGGCTTCAGATAATCCCGGAGATTCATTAAAATAAGCAAGCAGCATTGTTCTTAAAAACACCTTTAACACTGATTCGACGCTTGCTACGAGAAGTAATCTGACCCCTTATTATTGTATGATGACTCTGATACCATACGCCTTCTAGAAAAGCCTATTATAAATTCATAAGAAAGTAAGAAAGCCATTTTATAAAGAAATCTTGTGGAAGTCGTGATTGCGCTAGGATATTTTCACAATATTTATGGTAAATTCAGCTTATATCTACTAAGTATATTTTTATATAGAAGCGGCTGCTCGTATGGCACTTTCCTACTCTGCTAGGGACCTGTAAAATGCACCACGTCCAGCAGCAGGTCAATCCTGGATCGATAGAGGTCTCATGATAACCTCAGTTAGAATTTCTTTACACCATACACTTTTTTAGTGAGAGGCTCTTAGGCGAGGTTTAAGGAATACACCTTTGGCTCTTCGATTTATACAATGAATCAGGCGTGGCGGCGTAAAAAATATTAAGCGTTGGTAACGTTTCTATCTCACTCAGTA